TGCTCCATAAACAAGCTAAATCTTTCAGAACAGAACAAATAACGTTAATTTTGATCCATTTTGTTGGGTTTTCGTCTTTTTTTACAAAATCTTGCCTAAACATGAGCAAAATTTCTCAAAACAGGTCAATTTTCGTCTATTATTTTTCGACTTTTAACCCATGTTTTGACAAAAACCTGTCAAATGAGTGACTTTCTTGTTCATTGCAATTGAGAGAAACAAGGTAAAAAACGCCAATTTCCTTAAAAGTTTCATATTGTGTTTTACTCCAAATATGTGGAAAAATCATTAAATTAATTAAAAAATAACATTATTTTTGCCTTTTTTGAGACTTTAAACACGTTTCTGAGGAATAAACAGTTTTTTAACGAGATTTTGCAATTTTTTTATCATATATTTTGCTCAAAAGCCAAAAAAATCGCCAAAGTATCTCGAAAAATCACTAAACTAACTGAAAAATGACATTACTGTTGCCTTTATTGAGCCTTTTGACATGCTTTTCAATCAAAAACGCAAATTTTCCCAAATTCCCCAAAAAAACACCAAATTAGATTTTTTTAAAATGTTATTACTTTTGCCATTTTCACTTACACGTTTTTAAGCCAAAAACTTATTTTTACAAGATTTCGCTAAAACAAGCCAAAAAATGACTAAATTTGATCCAGAAACTCGTATATTCCTCAAGATATCGTCAAAATAAACCAAAAATGATCAAAGATTATTACAAAATTACTCTATTTTAGATTATTTCGAATTTATTCGCAAAAATGTGTTAAATATTACCAAAAATGACATTATTTTACAACAAAAAACTCTTTATTTGCTTTAATTAGTACGCAAGTACTCTTTATTTGATTTAAGTAAACAAACAGTTTTTGTTTATTCTAATTAGAACAAAGAAGGTGCAATTGACCATTTTTAAGCAAAAGAAGAGTCTGAAAACAAATATTTTTATAAAAATGCAATTTTAAGTAAGATTAACATAGATTTCTCCTATATGAAGCAATGCTTGATTAGCAAACCTTAACTTCAAAAAATCATATCTTGAAAACTACTCGGTATATTTTTTTGAAAATTTAGATTACAACTAATAAAGAGATGCTCTATACGATGGTAATAATGAAAAAAAAATTACTCGTAAGGTTTTTCTTTGATTACTTCGATTTACTTCGAACTTCTTCGAAACACTGTTCGAAGAAAAGTTTGCCTATATTCAATTTCAAATTTTATATCATCCTAAAGGGCAAAGTCAGCCCTTTAGAATGGTCTTTATTTGAAAAAAATCGTCCTAATAGTTATTCAGTAACGATTTTTTAAAGTTAAAGTATTTAAATTCATTTAAATTAGAAAAAAAAAATTTGTTCAAAGCGTGTGGATTTTTTGAATTTTTTTTAGTGCATTTGATTTGTCTCACTGAGACGAACAAAATGATATAAAATTTGTCAAGTTGTCACGACATTACTTTTTTTTGTTAATTGAGTTGCAAAAACTCAAAGTGATTGTCCGATTTGTCATAGAAAATCGGCGATTTCCCTAATCTCAAACGTGTCGCTTGCCAAATTCGGCCCAAAATTCACGCTCACGTTTAATGCTCATATAAATATAATTTCAAAGTGGGAGATGTGGCGAATTTCTCGCAATGTCATCGCCGAGACTTCTGCTTATTTTCCTGCTGTGTGTTATCAGTGCAACTGGTGATTATTCCTGCATTTGGTGGTAATTTTTGACGGTGTTTTTCAGGCAAGGATGAGGGGGGGAAGAAAGTGGAGACACCTAAAGGTCCAGCAGAGGCTCTTTTTCAACCCGTCAAACTATTTCTCAAAAAAATACCACCGTGTTATAGAGCGATTTTGCTATTTGTAGTCACGTCTTCGGCTCTTAGAACATTCAAACCGTTTCTTACACCCCTTTTACCGATCATTATCCCGGCTTTGGGGGCTGCGATTATGTCGAAATTGCCACACCCTGAGAAGATATAACGTGTGTGTGGTTTGAATAAAGAAGATGAGGTTTAGGTAGCTTTTATTTTGATAAATTGTCATTAAATTAATAAATGTTTCTTACGAAAACTTGTCCAAGTTTTAATTAAAAATTGGGGGGAGACAGAAATTAACTCCAGCAACTTGACAAGCATTATTCTCAGCTGTGTCAGTTCTTGACAAAGGATATTCAAACTTCCAGGATTACAAAATATATTACTTATGTTCTAATTGGGTTATTTGGAGATTGGGATTCTCCACCGGGAGTTAATTTCAGGATTAATTATTCTTACACTTTAAGAATCATTCAGTTTTACTTAATTTTGTGATACAGCGTTGATGTATCTATTGAAAATAATCTACTCTTGTTTAAGGTAAAAAAATAATTTCAAATTTCGTATTTATTCCATTTTTTTGGTTACGTTGCATTTTTTTAAATCAATTTTAATGTCTTTCCCCTTTAGAGAAAATGGATTTTGTAATTTCATTTTTAAAATTAAGCTTTTCAATGAAAAACTCATTGAAAAAAATATTTGTTATTATTTTAAATACCTCAAAACGATAAAACATTCTACATAAACTTTTAATATACCATTCTAAAAAATTAAGGAAACAAAAAAATTCTTGAATTTTTTGAGGATTTTTGAAAGACTGTACCTCAATGCGTTTAGATTAAAAAACACATTTTGAAGCTTCAAGTTTCTAGCTTGAGATCTTTTGGCAAAAAAATTTCGGAGCTAGGTTATTATGCAATCCTAAGAAATAGCACGAGAAAAAAGTATTTTTATTTTTTATTTTTTTGAGCTGAAAACGCATCATTTAAGAATTTTTGGCGAAAACAGGCCAAAAATCATCGTTTTAGGACTGAATCACCACATTTTTAAAACAGAAACTCATAATCCAGCAATTCAAGAAAAATTCCAGTAATTTCAAACAATCCCAACATAATTTTTGTAACTCCAAATAATTCCACGCAAGAAATATTGAAGCTTTGTTGAAAAATGAATTTTTGTAATGAATTTTTTATTAGTAATATTGAAAAAATGTTTTTTTTCTATATGTGACAAATTGTACAATTATTATTTAAGCAGTAATTTTTTTCTGATAATTTCTTTTTTTTTGTTAATATTTAATTTAGCAACAAAATACTGAAGCTTTGTTAGAAAATGAAACCTTTTATTTTCATTTATTGAATTTTCATTTGCAAAATTTGGAATTTTTCTATTAAATCCCTTTAGCATCTTAATTATTAATATTAATATTGGAAAATATTTTTTTTTCTACATGAAAAATTGAACAATTTTTAAGC